TACCGTAACCCGCGCCGCGCTCATGTGCTTAGTTGCAGCTATCCTGAATTTAAAAGTGAAATGTAAGCCACCAGGATGGGAAATGTACAGAAAAGGGAAGGTGTTGGGTGTCAGCTGCAGGTTATAATAAAAATAATAGGTAATAATCGGTAAGGTTAGGGCAGCAAACAGGTATTCAAGCTCTGGAAACTTCTGCTAGTTTGATGTAGGACTTTCAAAGCAAAAGTCTTGTTGTGGTATAAGCAGTGACAGGCACTCGATGATTACTCCCGGGGTAGCACAACCACACCCTAGTTGCTTTAGAGGAAGATTCATAATAAATGATAACTCTTAAAAGGAACAAATCTGTCCGCACATGCACAGGCAAAGGATTTCTCAACTAGGGCGCAATGCCTAAAGTTCCAATTTAATGTGAATAGTTTCTTCAATAGAGCCCTTATAACAGACTTGCCTTTGGCTCAATCAGTCGGGTGAAGCGCCTCACCTAACACCTTCCGTTCTCTGTACATTCAAAGGAAGGTGTTGGGTGTTTTGCTCTCCCTTCCTTTCATACTTTTCCCGTCCTGATGGCTTTCATCCTGTGTTGAGTGAAGCGCCTCACCCAACACCTTCCCTTTTCTGTACATTCAAAGGAAGGTGTTTGGTGCTGTGCTCTCCCTTCCTTTCATCCGTTCCCCATCCTGGTGGCTTTCATTTTACTTTTAAATTTAGGCCAGCTGCAACTAAGCACATGAGCGCGGCGCGGGTTACGGCATTGCGGTCCCACAGCGAATTTCGCAGCCATCCCTCGTTTATAAATAGTACCCACTTATGACTCCCCCTTTCAGCTGTAATTATTCACGTAATTGAAGTTTTCATCATTAAAGTGTGAGCTGAGGAAGATATCCTTGTGTCTTTTTTTTCAACCATTATATGAACACGCCGTGGACTCGCGGCAGCTAGTTTCATTGCAGCAGCTTTGAGCATCTACATTTTTTGTAGTGAAATTGAAAGCGTTTTCAGACTATTGAGCATCAGTTAGGAAATTCAGAGACCTTCCATGAAAGCTTGTGATGCTGTGCTCTCCTTTCCTTTCATCCATTCCCCATCCTGGTGGCTTACATTTCACTTTTAAATTTAGGCCAGCTGCAACTAAGCACATGAGCGCGGCGCGGGTTACGGTATTGCGGTCCCACAGCGAATTTCGCAGCAGCCCCTCAGTGTGTAAATAGCACCTTAAAAGGGGAGCCGGTCGTTTGGCGCGATGGGCGGGGTCGCGCCGCCCAATTGAGGCGGCGCGACTCCGCCCATCGCGCCAAACGACATAACCCCCTTAAAAGTCTCCTATCTTATCTGAAGATTATTTGGTGTATTTGGCGCAAAAACTGCTATGTAATCCAAAAGGGCCTTTCCACGTTTAGGCATGAGGATTTTCATGGTTTTCTCAGAAAATACCAGAAAAAAGGTTTTCTCCCAAAAAATCTGTTTTGGCAATAGCATAATACGAACCAACGAGGTTTATTTTTTTCTTTATCATTATTTTTTCTTCGGAGTGGTGGTTTTAATTTTTAAGCTACGGTAATAAAGAACAATTTGAAGCGTTAGTCGTTTTTGCAATAGATAACTTGTAAGAATGTTGGTACTTAAAGGCCGCCTTTAAAAAGGCATTTCCATTGTGACTGGCTGCTTTCATACTTCGACGTGCGTGCCGGCACGCAGGCGGAAACAATTTTGGATGCCGATGGATCACGTGCCACTGCTGTCACACACTTGGATAGCGCCGCCGTAGCATAGCCGCTCGCACGCCGCACGCAAGATTGTACCTGCGATTCCACCTACGTGCCGGCATGCACGTCCAAGTATGAACGCAGACACTTTGGGCATACTGATAGAATTAAAAAGAGTTTCGACTTTTTGTTCTCGTTAGTTGCTGTTAGTTCGCCGCAGTACGCAACGCAATTCTCACTCGTCTCTTAACTCGCCATTATGTGACATTGTCAAAAAAGTGTTTGATTGTCTGAATACTGTTCCATTACTTGATAACTATACGAACACTTAAGGAAATTAGTGGAGGAAGATCCAGCTCGAGGAACAGTGCAAAACGAAGCGTTTCACCATCGTCAGGTAGACAATAGTTTTTTTTATATGTCGATTTCGAACAGTTGGTTCCGTTGATTTCGCAAAAGATTATATTCACATCGCCTTGTTTAAGTCACTTTTTTAAGAGCGGTCGTTTACTGCTCAAGATGCTGAACGAGATGCTTCTAAGAGTCGTAAGGTCAGTTGCTCATCGGAAAAGGGTCACTAGAAAATAAATCTGAGCGAAATCTAAAATGCGATTTTTTTGAAAAGAAATAGTACTTTGTCTCCGCTGAACCCGATTGGTCCTCAGCTCTAATTTTGAATTCATGTAATGTGATTTAATAATTAATTAATAATAAATAATAAATAATTTAATACTAATTTAACTATATTTGGAGTTCACTTTACGTAAGGGGTTATTTTACGTCGACTGGGTACTCGTACCTGGCCTTAGTAGATGAATGCTTGGTCACTTTTTCTTACAAAATCAGACTAGATTAGATATTTTTGTAACAAGTTCTCAGCAAATACCGCATCATCAACCGAATAATGCTAGAAGATGATTGCCTTGAAGGCTGTTGTTGTCTATCACTATACTTAGCTTTTTTCTTCAGAAAAAGTCATCGTCGGTGAATATAAAGGGATGGACCGACGAAGAAATTTCCAAACATTTTGATTTGAGAGAGTTCATTATTGATATATCAGATTTTCCACATAATGAGCTCCAACCATCGACGAGTTTTCAAGGTATACTTGCGATCTTTCTTGTTATTCTTGCTATGAATTTTTTCGTATTCATGCAGATCAATCTCCAAAAAAAGACACGAATGAGTCGCTGAAGGAAGAAATGTCGGCGAAACCAACAGAAGAGAAAGGAAATCTAAATGAGGAAATTGACGAGAATGAGAGTAGGAAACGAAAACGATCCAATTCATCATCTTCATCGTGCTCATGTGCATCATCTGCGGGAGCTGCAAAGAACAAGAACTCGTAAGGAATCGATTTTTTGTTTGTATGTCATTGATTATGTTTTCTTTCATTGTCCATTATTAAGCGGAAGAATGTGACAGGTAAGGTATTATATTCAAAATTGCTTGGAATTCATTCATCTGACTTTGTGCGTCGAAGGGTCTTCATCCATGAATCATTCTCCCCGTAATTTTTCCCACATCTTGCGGTCAAGTATTTAGTAACTATGATTATGTTCACGTCTCTTTTTATTGTGTTGGATGAGTGAAGATAGCGACTTCGTTTTAGCTATCCGAAATTATGTCTGTTCATTCAGTTGGTGTGTGATCTTGACCAAGGACGGTCTTGGCGGTGATCAACAGTGGTAACTTTTACCCTGTCCCCTAAATGAGCAGTAGTCACAAGGGCGACGTCATGCAGGACTATATGTTATGCTAGTTTTCGTTTTTCCAAAGTTTCTAGAAAACCCAAAGGACTGATACAACATTTGAACAGTATTGTCTTGTTAGACAGATTTGATCGTGTTTTTCTCAAACGAAGGAGAAAACATAAGTAGGGAAGATAAGCGAAATTCTGGCATTATCCACTGTCTCTCATGTACCATCAGTAACATAATATTTGCTAGAAGGAGATCAGGCAACTGCCACTCTCGTAATATATGGTTAATATTTTGTCTTTCAGGTCTGACGATTCTGGTGATGAGCGCAATTTACAATCAAAGAGTATTCTTAAGAAAAAGGCACATGGCGAAAGGTGGTTTTTCAGCTAATGTAGCCACATCTCTTTTCTGTTGCTTATCTTTCCTCCGATGCAGCTGCAAATTTACCCATTACCGACTCTTGACTTTTGTAAAATGCGTAAGCGATTGAAACTGTTGTCAGGGCACATGAACGAACAGACCGGCTACATCTCTTTTGAAATGCACAGCTCCACTTTACACCTTTGATTTTTTAGATATCACCTTGTATTCTACAAAAATTCATAGGAATTCCCTGAGAAATAATGAGCATGAGTAAACGTCTGGAGCGGAACCTGATCTTTTTTTGTTCTGTTCTGACGGTAGTAAACTAATTTACTGCGTGTTAGGTGGTCTCACGAGGCTCCGAAGCTCCTACTTAAATTATGACCTATGATTTCTATTTAGGCCATGTGTTGAGTGTGGAAGGTGGTTGGACGATTGTATTTTGGACTGGAAGGATACGCTAGGACCGGCATCGGTTTGGTGTTCTCGCGACTGCATTGAGCGGAGAGTGGCAAAAGCTCATGAGGTAATTTTTTTTTTCTTCTCCAGATCGGCTGATCCAGTGGTTCCTGTGGTTTTTCCTCTCTGTGGAGTATGAATCTGCGAACTCCAAGGGCAGCACAAGGGGCATTGGCGGGTCCAAAAATGGCCTAGGTAGGTCTTATCAAGGGCCCTGAAATTGGACGAGTTCTCACGGCGTTGTGGAGGCTGCGAAGGTTGCACCATTCGCACCGAGATGCACACATTACTCTTGGGTAGCTCACTGAAGCCAACTGTACGCAAGGCGCAAACATTTAGACACGTTCTCGTATAGCTCTTGATTATAACACTTTTTTGAAGCCTAGTATTTCTCTAAATATGCCAATTTTCGTGTTCTTCACTTGTTTTTGCACTATTTTCCATTATTCGTCTAAATCTGAATACTCTATTATCGCGAATCTTGCCTTTGAAGGCACAGTTCACGATAATTTTTCAAGCCAGATTATGACGAAAAATGGAAGATAAGATGGAAAATAGTGCGATGGAGGCGAAGAAACTACGCGGATCGGTGCCTCCGAAGTGAAAAAAGTCATCAAAAAATCGTTGAAAAGGGGGCTGGACGAGAATGAGACTAGAAGATGAAGAAGAGTGGGGCGTTTGGACGAGCTACGCTTAGTGCGTCATTGCGTATGTGTGGGTCCTGGTGCAAATAACTGACTACTGTAAGCAAAAATCCATTCATTCATAAGCATAAGTTAGCAAAAAAAAACTGTAGTACAGCAAAAATTGTTTACCACTTTCAGCCCCTAGGAGTAGGAAATAAATTAAGGGATCGCGACAGTAAAAAAAATAACAGAGGAAAAAAGAGTGGGAGAGAAGCATCGCCTCATCACTGGCCGCATTCATACTAGGTGCAGTGTACGGCAGTCTCGGTGCCGTGTACTGCGAGTGCAGTACACGGCACTCAACTGCCGTATACGGCACCAGTCGTACGAAATCGATCGACAGCTCCCATTGATGACTCACCCTACGGGATGACTGTTTGAGATAATTGTGCTCCTTTTTCTCTTCGCTCGTAGCAGATTTTATTGTAATTTTTTTTTCATCACGTCCCGTGCTTATTACGGATCTTCCGTGCGCGTAATGGTCGCTTGAGCTCATTATTATTTCACTTATTTTTCTTACCCCTCTTATTTCAATAATTTGTTGTGGGAATTTTCCTATTTTATTTTTTCTATACTATTTTTTACTTCTATTGTTCCTGCTTTATATTCTAGCTAGTACTG